GACTGCTTTCGGCGTTGCTTATTTGATTTTGAAGGTGGGACATAACACCTATACGTAATATGTATTTTGGATTTCTTAACAAAGTACTTGTTTCTATAAAAGTTACTCTCTATAATAAGTCTTTTCTGTGTAGAATGCCCAACTTATTTGCTCTCAGGTCAAGTAATTTTCATTTAATGTTTTTATAGTTTTTTCACTGTTATCAAAATAGTGCAATAGTTATTCACGGCAGGAATCTGATTCATAAGAGATTTGTCACTGTGGGAAGAAATATCCATCTGATTCAGTTCCAAGCTGGGAGAAAGACACATGGAGGCTAATTGGAAAGAAAGTTTAATGATGAACAAAAGCAACAGCACTCCTGGGTCAGGGGTTTTTATACCTTCTTTGAACTTTGTATTTGAGCTTCCTGTTCCTGTGCAAGAACATGTCTTCTATTGGCTGTTGTCCAATTCCTATGGGGTCATATAGGGGTTATGTAGGGATCATATAGCCAAAAGAGGAAATACAAATCCTAGTGTTTGCCTGAGCTAAGTTTAGTTGAAGTTTGGACTCCTTTGAAAGGGTGTTTCTATTGTGGCTTGATGGCTTTGTCCTGTGTTGGATTTTGAGTGAGGGCTAATCCTACCATTCTGCCTTGTTTTAAAATATCCTGTCTTGAATGGATTACCAAATCTGCATTTCTAAAAGGTTTGGTTTCTGAATAAGCTGGCCCAATCTTTCTTAATGGGCACAAAATATCTACTGAGGCTATTAAGGAAAGGAGGTGTTGCTTTCTGCCTCTAAAAACATGTTTCTCCATTTCTCCCTTTATAGAATATTCTGCCTTTTTAAATATTCCTCAAAATATTTTATTCTTTTTTGGGGGGGGTCCCACATCATGTTTTTGTTGTATAAAAATGCAAAAAATAGGTCTCCGTGAGAAGCCATTGTTCTGTGTGCTATAGTGATGAAGAAACTAGTCCACTGTCACAATGACAGGAATAACCAGTTTGTTAAGAATGAAAATTGTCTTATAGCATTTTCCCAAATCATAATGAATTATAGTAATCAGAATCAACAGGATTCAGTGGGAAAGCAGCAGAAGACTGACTCTCCTGTGGTAAAAGAGTATTTTCCTTACACTCTAGCTCTGAGTTTGTGTTGTAATAAACATAGGAGTACCAAAGCTATTTTACTGGCATGGAGTCAAATCAGTGGTGGGATTTAGCCAGTTCAAACCAATTCAAGAGAATCAGTTGTTAAGTTTCTGAGCAGTTTGGTGAACTGGTTGTTGGAAGAAATAATTAGGGCAGAGAACCAGTTGTTAAATTATTTGAATCCCACCACTGAGTCAAATGTATTTATACATTTTTATTTGATATAAGATTTATATATTTTATTTTAGAGTAAGCTAAAACACTTAATCTAGTTAAAATATGAGCCTTTCTATCCATTTACAGTTTGAGGAATGGGTATTTTACTTGTCGGGTATTGGTCGGATACCTCAATCAATGGAACCAGCTAGTGTCAGTTCTTGTCTTGGTCAGCATTCTTCTATCATTGTAAACTTCAAGAATCCTACATTTGAAGAAGTTGTGGTAGATATCATTTTAACAGGTATGACTGCCCTCATTTTCTATTATGACTGAGAAATTGGATTGTCCATTTTAAAAAAAGCTTTCTACTGTATACCATGGAATGATGTTTTCTTTTTTAACATTTTAATTATATAAAACTAATTTCTACCAACAATGAAGATTGTGATACATGGTAGGCCTTCTACCATTGTAACTAGGATGTGATATACGGTTTTGTTCTGCCAACAACTACCCAACCCTAGAGAAGATAGGCTTGTATAAACAGAGGGATAGAATTGAAAGCATGTGAAGTATTAGCACCACTTTAGCAAAGCCTTAGTAAAACTACACTTGGAAAACTACATCCAGTTTTGGTCTCCACATTACAAAAAAGATGTTAAGACTCTAGAAAAAGTGCAGAAAAGAGCAACCAGAATGATTAGGGGACTGGAGACTAAAGCATATGAAGAACGGTTACAGGAACTGGGCATGGCTAGTCTAGTGAAGAGAAGTACCAGGGGAGACATGATAGCAGCATGCCAATACTTGAGAGGCTACTACAAAGAGAAGGGAGTCAATTTACTTTTCAAAGCACTAGAGGGCAGAACAAGAATAATATATAATATATAATAATATATAATATATAATAATAGATAATAGATAATCAATTTCTATAAAATATTTTATTAATGGTTCAATTGATTTATTGTCCTAAATGATTAGTGTGACTAGAGTGTTTAGTGCAAATAGTGTGATTACTGACTAGTTGAAAAGATCAAGATTCATGTAATTTAATTGAATAGTAAAATCAATGATTTAGTGTATTTAAATGAACAGTGTGATTAATGATTAGTGTAATTAATTGATTAGTGTTTAGAGTAATTAATTGATTGGGCTGATTGATTAATTAATTGATTAATTAATTGAAAATAAATTAATTGATTAGTGATTAGAGTAATTAATTGATTAGGCTGATTGTTGCTCAGGAATATTATCTGACTAGAGAGATTACTGCAATTGATTGTTTGATGTGATATTGGCTATATAGATTACCCAAAATTGTTCCTTTAATTAATTCAATCAACGTACTATCTTAACAAACCTACCATGCCAAAAAGAAAATCCAATGTCAAACCACAACCTAAAGAGAAGATAATCCCCACCAATGAACCACAAGACTCCTGCACATGCCTTAAATGCTACAAAAATCTAAAGGATAATGAAAACTCCATCAAATGTTCTCTGTGTAAAAAATACGCTCATCATGACTGCTTGGGATTACCTGAGCAAATGATTCAATACCTAGAATCATCCAATGAGTTTCCATATCTCTGCAAATCATGCAGACCCAAACTGGATCTGTCTGAAAGAGTTGATACCATCGAAACCATTGAAACATCCCTTAACACCATAGTAGCATCCCTGGACGCCATAAAAGAAAGAATATCCAACCTTGAAAAAAAAGACACAACGCAAAAACCTGAACATCCAATAGCTACAAACCACATCTCTACCCAACAACCACAACCCAATCCAAAACCCAATCCACAAATAAACACAACCCAGACAAATATTGATATCCCAATCCTCATCAGAGAAGCCGTTGAGCGTGAACGGAAACGTCCAAACGCCATCTTATTTGGTCTAGAGGACATCAATGACAATGATGACATCACAACTGTCCGAAACATCATCAGTGATTATCAAGCATCAACCATCTCCGCTGATGAAATACTTGACATTTCCCGCATTGGCCGAGAGCTCAAAAACAGAGATGGCTCTGTGGCCCCACGCTTGTGCAGGGTCATCTGCAAAAATGAATCAAGCAAACGTAAATTCATTTACACTATAAATTCACTCGCCAAAACCAACACCAACCATAAGAACCTCCGTTGTCGCCCTGACCTAACCATACAGCAACGTGCCCGCTCCCGTGTACTCCGCACTGAACTCAAAAAACGTCTAGACAATGGAGAGAAGGACCTGTACATTGACTACCATGCTGACTGTATCAAAAGTAAGCCACACAACCCGCAACTCAGCTTTAACCCTCAACCACAACCCTACCTCAACCGATCCACCATCACCCAAGACTAGGCATGCACGCCCCTAACTACCTCAATTCCAACTACTACTGGCCTTAAATGCAAACTACTCAATGCAAGAAGCCTCGTGAATAAAATACCTGAATTTTTCCTCCTACTAAATATGGCTAAATTCGACATTATATTTGTCTGTGAAACATGGCTCAATGCATCTCTCCCTGACTCCATTACCACAGTAAGGGACTATCATGTTTACCGATCAGATCGTGAAATTCGTAGAGGAGGTGGTGTTGCTATCTTCTATAAAAAGTCCTTACATCTAAAAAATATCCAAGTTACCCAGGAGCTTGCTCTTCCTGAGACCATCATCTGTGAACTATCCTTAAATATCACAATTTGATTCTTACTATGTTACAGAGCACCTGATTATGACATCGAACATGTAAACAAGCTAAATACATTACTAACATGGGCTGCATCCTGCCCATACCCTTTTATCTTTCTTGGTGATTTCAATCTACCTCATATTGACTGGACCCTAAATGAATGTACAACTGAAATCATACACACAACCTTCTACAATGCTATTACAAATCTGGGACTGGAACAACTAGTAACCAACAACACTAGACTAAACAACTGCCTCGATCTCATCTTCTGCAATAGTTTGAATTTAATTTACGGAATACAAACTAAAGAACCCTTTTCCAGCAGTGACCACAATATGATTGACTTTTGTCTCAACATACGCCCACACAAAAATCACCACAATGATGTAATCCCCAATTGTAACTTCAAAAAAGGCAACTATGATCTTATAGACAACGATCTCTCATCCCTTGATTGGCAATCTCTATTCACTGGATGCAATACTGTTGAAGACCATTACAACATATTTTTACTTGAAGTCAAAAGAGTCATCAAACTATATGTACCAACAACAACTCCCAAAACAAAACAAAAAAGCAGATTACCCATAACAATAAGGAAACTTCAATCCAAAAAGAGATCACTCTGGCGGAAAAACAAATCTGGTCACGTTGCCAATTTCAAAAGCCGATACAAAAATTTATGCCACCAGATAAAGACCGAATGCACCAATTATCACATTAAACAAGAGGAAAACCTTCTAAGCACCAATTCCACCCGTGCTTTTTACAATTTTGTAAACAACAAACTAAAAGACTCAAGGTCCATCCCACCCTTGATAGGACCTGATGGTAAAGACTGCAACGACGACACCATTAAAGCCAACCTCTTTAACACATTCTTCGGCTCAGTATTTGTAAACAGCAACGGATCATGCCCAGTATTTCCTAGCCGTACCACAGATAACAACAATGATCTAATACATATCGATTTTACAGAAGACAATGTTGAAAAAGCACTACGCAATCTAAAACCATCTCTATCTATTGGACCGGATGGAATACGTGCCTACTTCTTAAAAAAGCTATCCACTGCCATAGCCAAACCTCTAAGCATAATCTTTGAAAAATCTTTCAGGACCAGCTCCTTGCCTAACCTATGGTCACAAGCCACAGTCATCCCCATCTTCAAAAAGGGAGACCCAAGCCTAGTTGAAAATTACAGACCAATCTCCTTATGCTGCGTCACCTGTAAAGTCATGGAATCAATTATTAACCAATCCATCATCCTCCACTTAGAGACAAACAACCTACTCTCCAATAAACAATTTGGTTTCAGAAAAAAACTATCCTGTAATCTGCAACTCTTACACTGCAAAAACATATGGACGACACAACTCGACCAGGGCAAAGCAATAGACGCAATCTACATAGACTTCTGTAAAGCCTTTGATTCAGTGGTACACGACAAACTACTCCTAAAAATAAAATCCTATGGTATCTCTGGACAACTGAATAACTGGATAGAAGCATTCCTGGCAAACAGACAACAAATGGTCAAAATTGGGAGCGTCCTATCAAATTCTGTACCTGTCAATAGTGGTGTCCCCCAAGGCAGTGTTCTAGGACCAACTCTCTTCATACTCTACATAAATGACCTCTGTGATCATATTAAGAGCAATTGCGTTCTTTTCGCTGATGATGTAAAGCTGTTCAATACCACAGACAATACTGCTACCCTACAAAAAGATCTTGACTATGTATCAGAATGGTCAAACAAATGGCAACTTCAAATCTCAACAAATAAATGCTCTGTCTTACATATTGGCAAAAAAAATCAGAAAATAAAATACAAGCTGAATAGTCCAGATCTTGTTGATGACCCAAGCTCTGTAAAGGACCTTGGAATACTCACCTCTAATGATCTAAGTGCTAGAGCCCACTGCAACTACATAGCCAAAAAGGCATTAAGAGTTGTTAACCTAATCCTACGTAGCTTTTTCTCTGGTAATATCACACTACTAACCAGAGCATACAAAACATTTGCTAGACCAATACTCGAATACAGTTCATCAGTCTGGAACCCACATTACATATCTGATATTAGCACAATTGAGAAAGTCCAGAAATATTTCACAAGAAGAGTTCTCCACTCCTCTACTCGTTGTAGAATACCTTATGCCACCAGACTTGAAATTCTAGAACTAGAAAACCTTGAATTACGCCGTCTTTGGTCTGATTTAAGCATGGTATATAAAATCATACATTGCAATGTCCTACCTGTCAATGAATACTTCAGCTTCAACCATAACAACACAAGAGCACACAATAGATACAAACTCAAAGTTAACCGCACCAAACTTGATTGCAGGAAATACGACTTCAGCAATAGAGTGGTCAATGTCTGGAATACTCTACCCGACTCTGTAGTTTCTTCCCCAAACCCCAAAAACTTTAACCTTAGACTGTCTACTATTGACCTCACCCCTTTCCTAAGAGGTCTGTAGGGGGCGTGCATAAGTGCACCAACGTGCCTACCGTCCCTGTCCTATTGTTTCTCTTATTCTTCTTTTATTTTATCTTTTATTATGTACCCATTTCATGTATTCACAACTATGTATACACTTATACTTATTATCTTGTAAACAATTGGCAAATC